TACATTTTAATCTAGGAATAAAAAATGCTGATTGTTGTTTTGCTTCATTCTTCAAAGCAAGTTCAGTTTCTAGGCTGTGTAGAAAACTGTCAGTCACTCACTGTAGGTACATAGCACCCCACCCACACAGCTCTTTCCAAGTCCTCGCTCTTCAATGGAGCCAATTGTTTAACTGTGTTTATAACCACTGCTATTTCTGGCGCGTTTCCTAAAAGTTGACTGGTTTAAGGTCTACCCGCTTGAGGGTTTGGCTTTGTGCTCTGACATATCGTAGAACAAAGTGCAAGAGCCAGCCTCCATGGGTGTGTGTTGCAGCACCTCTGTGCTGGTGCACAGACAGGTGGGACCTGTGCCATCGCCCATCTCCCAGGGTGTGGATCCCCCATGTCAGGGGGTTTAGATCCAAGCCTTCCCAGCAATGGAGCAGTGTTCATGTTGCCTGTGAATCTGGATGAAATTCAAGCTGCCCATGGACCATCCTGCTCTCACAGTAAAGTAAATCTGTCACTGTGCCCTTCACAACTGCATCTACCCACACATGAATTGTGTGTTAGGGCTGATCATTTAATATAAAAATATATGTCATTTGCTTTTTGTCGCTTTGGTGGAGTTTTTTCAGTTTCCTTTTGGTTGAATAGCTACACAAAGTTTCAACTCTTGCTCTTCTGACCATGCTTGGCAGTGCAGCAAGACCTAGTAGCTAGAGCTCTGGCAACATTACAGTGTAGAACTCACATCCCATGACAGATTATTTTATTGATTTTCTTGATAACTTTTCTCTGTAGGAAGGTTTTTACATGACAGCTCATGCATCAGGTGCCTGAGGTCATCAGCCTCCCCCTGGAATGCCTGTTTTTCTCCTGCGACTGTAGAAGAGGAACCAGTTGTGTAGGTAAGATCTCAGTGTCTATGTCTGCACAGACTAGCTGAGGTTGGAAGGGACCTCCAGAGATCACCTGGTTCCACCTTCTGCTCAGAGCAAGGACCCTGGAATGGGTTGTCCAGGGCTGTGTCCAGTCAGGTTTTAGAGTATCTCCAAGGGTGGACAGTCTATAACCTCTCTGGGCAACCTGTGCCAGGGTCTGACCACCCTCACAGAGAAGAAGGGTTTGCTTCTGTTTAAGCAGAATTTCCTGTATTTCAGTTCGTGCCCATGGCTCTGTCTTCTCTACTTGCCCCCATCAGACATTTGACCACACGGATAAGACCCCCTGAGGCTTCTCTTCTCCAGGCTGAGCAGTCTCAGCTCTTACTCTCTCCATACACAACAGCTGCCCCACTCCCTTTATCGTCTTTGTGGCCCTTCACTGCACTCACTTCAGTAAGTCCATGTTCCCCCTGTACTGGGGAGCCCAGAACTGGACCTGGCACTCCAGATATAGCCTCACTGGTCCTGAGAAACACAGAAACAAGATACAGTATTGAACACCAGAGACCTTGTTTTTGGGATTCCTGTTGATGTGTGTGACAGAAATAAGAAGCATTCCTGTTACTGCAGTGGGAAACTAAGCTGGCCTCAGGGCATTTCTGCAAAGCAGTAGGTGGTGTAGGTTTTATTTCCCCTCTTGCATTTTCTTTTATAAGATGTAGTGCTTCCCAAACAGTGTTTTTTTAAACATAGCTCCTTGAGACGTGTTCTTCATTGCCAGCCTGCAAGGCTGGCAAGCGGTCTGTGTGTTTTGTTCTCTTCAGCGGGCTCAGGGTTAGTTTTCTAACAGGGTTGAAGAGAAAGCAAATATTTTCTGCGATTAGAAGTTGGCCTCACCTCTTGGCAGTGCAGCCATCTGTGGGTTTTTGTTTCCTTCCTGGGGTGAGGCTGGATGTTGAGGACATGGCGCTGGTTAGCGAGCACCCAGGCTGCAGGCACTGGGAGCCTTATGGTCACTGCCAGTACCGATGGCCCGAGCCTCTAGCACCAAGTGTATGTGAGGGAGGTTGCAAGGAGGCGATGCAGCCACTGACATGTTTGCATAGAGCAGGACAGAGCGGTGAGGCTGCTGGGTGCAAGTCACAGCTAAGATATTTGTGTTTTTCTTTTTAGCTGTATTTGCAACAGTCCCCAGCTATTACCTTTGGACTCCCTCCAGGTACTTCTATACTAGAGACAAAGGGGATAAAGGATTCTTTTTTTGCTTTGCACACCATAGTCTGATATTCTCTCATGTTCTGCTTTATCTTCTACCCCCAAGGAGATTATTTTTATCAGTGTAGTGACCCCCAACTATTTCATAATTATGCTCCCAGTGGTCATTTGGCTTACCTTTGTTTGCTGATCCTTACAGATCTGTGTTTCTTCCCTGGCTGTGATGGCTTCTGAGCTGGAGAAATGTAAATTAATTTAGGTTTTTTTATTTTATTTGCAAAAGGAGAGACGGGTACCAAAGTGGTGTTTAGTGCCTATGTAGCAGTGGGACCAAACAGTAGAGCCTATAGGAATAACAAGGCTCAGTGGTGCAGGGGTGGAGGTGCTCCTTCCCTTTTGAGGTGCGTCCTACCAGTGGTCTCATCCCACAGCCAGAGGTGGGAAGTGACTTCCCCTTGTGGCAGACAGGAGCAAAGTTGTTTGGGAGCTGTTTCATGCTAAAGATGATGGGGAGAGGGTACACCTGATCTGGTGAGAGCCTCTGATCTGAGTAACCCCAGACTGAGTGGACAGGCACAAGGAGGAGAGATGTGTGGTTGGGTTGCTTGTTCTCAGCATGAGTCTTCGCCTTCTCTTTGCTTGGGATCCTTTTCCCATGTCACCAAACTCTCTTGATCTGAATTCACCCAGGACTGATAAGGACCAAGTCCCACAAAAGCGTTCAAGGCTCAAAACAAGCTTTTGTCTTGTGAGTCGCAAATTCTTACCCACCTTTGCCTACCTGGCCCTTTTATTGACAGAAGCCAAAAGCAACCTGGGTGCTCAGGCCACTGATGTGTGTTAACAGTGTGGCTGTTCTGGCCCTTGCTCAAAGGGATACTTCAGAAAAGCATTACCCGTTTTATGGTTAACCATTTCACTTTTAACCATTTGGTCCTTTGCCTGTACTTCAGGACACTGGTGAATTGGGGTCAAGCAGATTAACGTAGCTGTGGATGGCATAGTGCTGGGGAAACGTCTTCTTTGTGTTCACCCAGTAACTTTTCTTCTTTTGTGCATAGAAATATATGCAGATTTCATGCTTCATCTTTCCTCTGCTGTGTTACAGAGCCACAGGCAGCTGAGAAGCGCCATCACTGGCACAAGATCTTACACAACATCTGCTATTTTAATAACACGAGGTTCATTTGAGATTGCAGGCATCACAATACGTTGGTTCAGACATGAGCACTTTTCACATTTCTTTTTCTTGGGGAAGAGCTGAGGTTTCTTTCCATTAGTCTGCATGCCTTTGGTTGAGACCACAGTTTGTGGACAGCAGATGTTCCTCTCTGGCTTGAGTGCCAAAAAGATTTAATGGAAGATCAAAAAAATGATGCTTGTCCCAGCCCCCAGCAGCTGGACCACATCTGCTCTAGGCAGTTCCCATCAGGCCCCCCTGGAATAGAGGCAGCCAGCCGATCAACCCCTCCACCCTGGCATTCAATGTGAGTGCAAAACATGGGGTTGGCCACAAACAAACAAAAGAGACTGCTGTGGTAAGCAAGGATGAGGATTCTTCTAGAATTTCTTTTTCTTTGGCTTTTAAAAGAAAAACTGTAGTTCATAAGGTACAATAAGATGTAGCACATAGAATAATGTTAAATTCACAAATGCAACTCTGAAACTGCAAGGTCAGTTTTTGCCTCCTTGGTCCAACAACTACAGCAGGAGCAAAGCCACCCTTCCCTGTGCTCCTCCCAGCTTCAGAAGAGAAAAACAGCTATGAAAAATGGTGCTGGCAGGGGTGTAGCTATGTGAATATAGAGAGCAAGAGAGATACAAGCAAGAAATCTGCCGAGAGCAACTTATAATTCTCTAGATTTTGACAGATTGACTCTTTAATGTCCTCTCTGGGAATATCCTTTGGCATCCATCTCCATGGCTGTTTTTCAGATTCGCACTCCATGCAGAGATGGTCTGGCTACAGCACCCACATCTTCCCCGAAGCTCAGCATAACCAGGGTCTAAGGCTTTCACATCACCCCTCTTTAGTTCCTGGGCTCTCATAAAAGCCCTCTGTTTATTTCTCTGACCACACATTGGTGTTTTAAGACCTTGTGGTTTATGGCCAGTCAGGATCAAAGCCAGCAACGCTTCCAGCTTTGCTGCTTTGCATTCATGTGTATCTAAAAACATGAAGGGATCATCTGCCAAGAGAACTAGAGGGTTTATATTGAGACAAGCTGGCTTGTAGGGTGTAACCATGACCTACAGCAAAGAGCCTTAGCAACCTTCAGGATCAGGGTCCAAAGTAAAGCTCTGCGAAGGGCTGTCCTCTTGTGCAAGAGACATAATTTCACGTGCAGTTCTGCAGCAGTTGGAACCTCCCAGACTGGTGTGGAGCACTGTCTTCTCATGTATGGTCTTCTCTCCTTCACGGGATGCTGAGGAGAAGGAGGAGGAGGAGGAGGGAGAAGTCATCACCACCTCAGTGGGGGAAGGAGAAGGATGCTCAGTGCTGCTACAGCTCTGCTCGTTGCAGAGGAGGTAGGAGGCAGCCTGGAAAGTGCTGGCTCCACATTGGGACCCAAGGTGCCACCTCCCCCGGCACTGCTACCGCTGCCAAACGGGGGTGAGGGAAGGACCTTTCTTCTGGGTTGGTATTTCAGAGTAAAATTTCCCAGCACCAAGGGGAGGGAAGGAAGGAAATCTTATTTTCCTATAAAAGGACTCGCTGCCTATATCCTACTTAGGGCATGGGACTGGGATGATAACGGAAGGGGGGGATCCTATAAACCGTATCACAGGGCAAGAGGCTCTTGCTTTCTGCTTTTCCCCTCTGCCTTTGATATCTCTGACCTTCTGACAGATACCTGGAGCTGATCTAAAGAGAAATGCAAGAAGAGAGCCCTCGAATCACATTGACGCTTCATTCCTTCAGCAAGCTATATATATATATTTTATTTTATAGTCGTTTGAACAGCAGAGAGTTTGGCAATAGTGACAGCCTCGGAAGCGTGCACCCTGCATTTGTGTGTGTCTGTGTTTCAATCTCTCCAGCTTGACTCCCACTAGACATCTTGGAATACCCACCATCATGCTGTTTTTAAACAAGGCAGCAAATTGAAATACCTCTTCCATGGGCTCCCCATGTGCATCAGTTCTTGACATGCCCAACCTGACAGCGCAGGGGATGTGACCCAAACCAAGCACCGGACAACAAAAGAACCGCTGATACCTTTCAGCCAACAGCCTGCACTTCTTTCCCATCATTGCTGTTTATTACAATTTATTTTTTTTTCTTTAACCTTTTTTTCAGCCAAGAATTACTGAGGCCAGACCTTCAGCTGGGCATGACTTAATAGGCTCAAACAGTACTCAGCAAATTTATGTTTGCTGAGGACTGTGCCTGGATCAACAAAGACTGTACTATCAGCTGGGTTTCAATCCTTTAAACAGGTCAGATGTTTCCTGAAGCTGCTGAAGTGAGTTGTTCTGGGGTTCGTTTTTGATACACAGTTGTTTTTTACATGGCTGCATATTCCATCCTAGCATTACTTTCTGTTATTTATGTAATATTTTCATCTTCTATTTCCAGGAATATATTTGACTGACTATGCTGCAAGTCATCCCTGCTTCCCCTGTGATGCTGGAGCATAAATAAAGCTTCCGATGGGATTTTTTTTTTCTTTTTTTCTAAAAGATCTGGAAGTGGGTCTCACTCTCCCACTGAAATCAGTGAAACTGGCTTCTGGCTGATGAGAAAAGGACCAACAAAGCGAGGAATGCTTCTGGAAAGGACACCCGCCTTCTCAGTAAGTCAACCCATGCCTGTTACTTGTTAATTCATTCATACACATCACTGGACTAGTTGGACAACCCGCTGAGCTGCTGGTACTCAGCCAACAAGCCCGATTGTATCTCTCAATGCAAAGCAGGAGTAACTCCCTCTGCTTGTCAAGACCGAATCTTGATCCCTAGGAGACTGGATCAGGGCACTGTGAAGAACAAGGAGCTCCCACAGATCGCTGCCAGGGCTCGTGGGGGAGCAAAACAGGGGAAGAAAGCAGGAGCTAGCTATGCTGGTGTCCCAACAAAGCTCAACAAGATGGGAAAGGCCCTGGGCAGCCAAGGCAGCTGTTTGCCAGGCTGGACTGCTGCAGCAGTTCTTTGCCAAAACAACCAGGCCATCCTCATAAATTCCCTGTGTAAAAAAAAAAAAAAAATATCTATAAATCATGCCTTAGTAAGAACGATGCAGCTGCTAATGGGGCTGGATGTGGCCAAATTGAAATGCTCTAATGGTCTCTAATCCGACACTGAGCTGTGACGATTCTCGTTGCAAAGAGTGACTCTACTTGAACATGTGTGCGCGTGCGTGCATACATACATGGACACGTACACATACCTATAGCTTTATAATCCTGCTGCCAAGGGGGAAGACCCAGGTTGTGGGCGGGTGGGGGAAGGCCCCGCCGCTACACGATCATGAATTGGCAGACGTAGGGCAGCTGGTCTTTGCACCTCTTGTCGAACCACTTGCCGATCGCAGCCCCTGACAAAGCTGCGCAGTTTTCCAGCTTGCCACCGTCAGGCTGGGTGGTGATTTCAGTCTCCCAGTTCTTGTAGCGGACAGGACCGCCCGTCATGTCGACCCACTTGCCCTCCGCCGCCATGTCGTTGAGGCCCAGCCAGATCTCCGCTTCGGAGCCGATGCTCTTGCGCATGTAGTCGTAGAGAGCATCGTTCTCCTCCCCGCTCTGGGGGGTGCTGAGCGTGCCGCCCTGCGAGATGCAGTTTTCGCTGGCCTCGTGGTACGTCTTGGTCTCCGAAAATGCAAGAAAGCATTTTAGGTGAATTTTGGTGCCTTTCAGGCAAACTGAGAGGTTGCCATACAAACAGAACAAAAAGACAGAAAGGGAATTAATTTTAAAAACATCACCCAGGAAGAGGCAGCAGCAGCAAAGGCAGCGGCTGAACTATGAGCTTCCTTTCTTAGGCTGCACGGCAATCCGCAGGGCCATCCTCGGCAGCAGGGGAGTCCCAGGAGCCCTCTCCCTCCTACGCAGGGCACGGCTGCGGGGACATGCCCTCCCTGTCTTCAAACCATAGGGAAAAATGGATCTCGGGGTACCTCTGCCACCCTCTTGGGCTCTGTTGCTGTCAGATTACCTCTGTGTGGTCCTTCTGCCCCTTCCCCTGGCCTTGCTCTTCCACAGCTGCTGCTACGGTTTCTCTGACAAGTTTTTTAGAGGCAGGGTTGGTTGTAGACGCTGCCGTGGTGTTGGAGTGTTTTGGGAAAAGTCTGCAATTTCAATTCAATCATCTTAATTATGCAAGCATGAGAAAAATGTCTTTTTTAATAGGCTTTGATCAGAAGTGTTGTGCTTGCACAGCTTGAGGTCTTCAGAGGAAATCTCTACTTGCCTATAATTTTATTGTTAAGAATAGCAATTTATTTTTTATTTTTTTTTTAAGCTCTAAACCCTGAGACTGCAGGGTACTCTAACCAAACAATAACTAATCAGAGCCATGCATTAATATCCAAACCAATGAATGTGAGCTTGGATCTAAAGCCTTGATTTTGCTTGTTTTCCTTTTCTTTTAAGGAAAAAATTCTCCTTAACTTGCATTTTCATCTAATTTCTATTTTGTGTTCTGAAAATCCCTCTCTTACATATGTTGGTGGAGTTTGCACAGAATAACTGTGGGACATGGCTGGAAGATGAACATTTTGGGACTGTCCTCTGTATGTGTTCAATGAAGCATGGTGGGACTGACCTCCATGAGATTCCCTGTGCAATATCATGATATGTATAAGAGACCAGGTTCACCATTTTATTGGATTTCAAACAAAAGAATAAGCTACATTTGACTGAAGTGCAGACCAATCCATTACCCATCCCTCTAACTCATAAAGGAAGATGAACATCTGGCTTAGTGTTATAGAAATATCCATAGCTTTACAAATGGGAAGCTCTAGCACATAAAGAGGGAGGCCATACGCTACACAACTCATGTCATTAACTGCCTGAGGAGCTTCAGCTGCCTGGAAGAATTGCAGCAAGACCACATTTTGCTTTGATCCCCCAACCCCTCTCCCCGTGATGGACTCCTTGTCGCAAGGCACTTGGGCATCTCTTGTCAAAATGTGTGGAGCAGTTGTAGCTGCTTTATAAGCAGCTCCTCTCTCAAAGCAAAAGCCATGCCTTTTTCAGAGAGTCATTTACCTGTCTGGAGTGCTTGCTTTTCCTTCAGTAGAGCAACCTCCTGAGAGATGTTGTCAATCATGGCCTTTAGGTCTTCAATCATTTTCAGGCTCACACCATCTGTGGGAAAAAACAAGGGAGGAGCATAAACATGGGCTGTGTCCCCCAAGGAGGCAGCTGAAGCATTTCCTATCATCAGAACTCCCCATTCCTCTGCCTTTAGAGAAAGACAAACAAAAGGGATTTGCAAAGTCAGTGTCCATCCCCTTGCACATCCATCAGAGTGAGCATTTGCTTGCTAGCCTGCTTCCACCATCAACTCTGTTTTACCATTTTGGGTTTTGGGGCTTCTCTTCTCGTCGGGCTTTGTGGGGTGGGGGGGTCTCCCCTTGAGCTGCCTCTACAGTGCTGGGGTGGGGGTGGGGGGTGCAGGCTTGTCTCTGGAGCCCTGGTGTAGGGCACTCGCCTGGGGTGGTGCTGCACTAGGGTCAAGTTCTCAAAATACAGGAGGGCAGTATCTGATGCTGCCCCTCCTGAACATAAGTCCTACCACACGTGAGTGCTTTGTGGGGAACTTAAAGCTACCAATGAATAGGATGGTTTTTTTCATCTTCAAAAACATGCCCTCCCTCTCTCTATTCACAGCACACCCTCCTGGCTTCCCTTAAACACTCTAACACATGATCATCTCTCTATGCGCTCCTTGCTGTGTCCCCACATTAGTCTGCTCTTATGAGTGTGTTGGCAAGAAAGCACTTCGCTCACCAGGCTGATGCTCAACAGGAAGGGCTGTAAGGGCTGCAGTACTTCCACTAGATCTGTCCCTGCACCACCAGCCACTCCATCCCTCAGGCCACCAACCATGCCATCCCTCAGGCCCTCACAGCTGCCTCTGCCATCAGCACCCCTGGTGCAGGTACCCAAAAATTGGCCAGAGCTGCTCTCCTGCCATGAGAAGATGCCTCCTCGGCCAAGGAGTTGGTTGCAGCCTGCTACTAAAGCCTACGTCTTGCTAGGTGCATTACTTCTGCAACAGCTCCAACCAGCTATTAATTGATAGTTGGATTTCTCCTGTCTAGGAGCAAAAGGACCATTATGCCTTGTAGGTGGTGGGAGATCGAACATCGAGGCATTTGTATTGATAACGTGGTCTCTGCTGCTCCAACTGCTTTACCTTGCAAGCATCTGGTAGTCCATATGGGGTGAGAGGAAAGGGGACAATTTGCCCATGAATGCAGTAGGATGGACTTCCTTGAGGGTCAATGAGATGGGAAGCCAAGGCACCAAGCCAGGCAAGTCAGGAAGCAGCTTGGATGCAGACCAAAACCACTAGCCCAAAGACTACCATGAATATGAAAAACCAGTTACATCAGGAGGGCATTAAGCTCTTTTACTCATTGCTCAATTAATTTTAATGGGTTCACTTAACACTAAGGTACTAGTTATTATTTTGCTGCCTTTGATAAAAATACTTTGTGGGAAACAGCTAATTAATGCTGGGGTTTTTTTTCCATGCGAATCTGTCTTGCAGCAGAACAAATGTCACTTAGGTTTAAGTAATACCCGAGAGTCATGGCAGGACACTGCCAATGAGTCTGGCTGGGGCAGCTCCTTACGTTGCCTCAGCCGGGTTTGCTGCTGGGTTCCCAGCTAGAGGGTCCCTGCCATGCAAGGTGACGTGTCTCCTTGATAACTACCTACGTGCCCTGTCCCTTTTCACCACCTCATTTCCAAATCCTGGGCCACAAGATATTCTTACAGTAGCAGATTCACCAGGATGTCATGATGAGAACTGGGAGCGGTTAATTTGCACTTCAGCTACAAAGCAGGTACCACGGCTACATCAACAGACATCGAGTTTTCTATTTTATTACCAGGGGTTTTTGTCACTGTGCTGTCATTTCCTCAAGGCTCAGCTCCTGAAGCCTGTGACCAAGGCTTTTACAACTTGGGTCTGCTGCTATTGAAGCCAGCGTAAGGGTTGCCAGTGCTGCCTGTGGGAGTTGGAGTGGGTCCTTGCGCAGCTAACTACGAGCAGCAGGATTAAGCGCGGGCATAGGTGAGGTGAAAAGGAGACTTACAGAAGGATGTGCATTGCAATTGTCTGCTGGTTTGAAAGCCTGGCCAGTAATGTATTTGATGCTGCAAATGGGAGCTCTCACGCATTTTCCCTTGTTCTAATTATATGCTGAATAACAAACAAATCCCTCTGTACTTAATTTTCATTACTGAACTATCCCTATATGAAATCTGGATCTATATCTGGGTTGCTTAGCGTTGTCTGGGCAGTCATCATCTGGTTTGTTTCCATCTGAACAGGTTTCTCACCCCCAGGGGAGAAAGCATCCCTCTGGTTTGCAATGTGTGACTCCAGGCATTTCCACAAATGTCCCAGCTGGAAAAGTCAGGTCCCATATTGCAGTCCATTCCCTGGGCCAGAGGAGGGGACCAAACACACCTGCAATAGCATCCTGGGTTTGAGTCTATGGTGGTGTTTTTGGTAGCGAGGAGGAGGTGGCCCCCTGTGAGAAGCTTCTCAAAGCTCCCCTGGCTCCAAGTTGAACCTGCCTCTGCACCAAGGCCAGGCTAATTAGCAATAGTGGCTGCACCTCTGTGATAACATATTTAAGGAGGGGAATCTGAGAGGAGGAGTTGGAGTTGTGAGGAAGAGTTTCGACAAGGACACCTATGCAAACATCGAGGTCAGTAGAAGGAAGGAGGAGGAAGGGGGGAAAGTGTGCCAGAGCAGAGCCCCCCTGTATCCCATGGTGAGAGGGCAGGGCTGCCCCCCGCCACACATGGATGTCTACGGTGGAGCGGATGACAACCTGCAGCCTGTGGAGAACCTCACACCAGATCAGGTGGCTGCAACCGAAGGAGGCTGGAACTCCGAGGCAAAAAGAAGCAACTGCTGTTGTATGTCAGCATTGGGAAGATTGCAACATAGTGGGGTGACCCACGCTGGAGCAGCCCAGGAAACACTGCAGCCCGTGGGAGAGACTCATGTCAGAGCTGGCTTGTGGAGGACTGTCTCCTGTGAGAGGGGAACGGCGCTGGAACAGGGGAGGGATGCCAGGAGTTCCCCCCTCCTCGAGGTGGAAGAAATGGCAGGACTGACTGCACCCCCCCGCATTCCCTGCCCCTTGTGCTGCTGAAGGGGAGGAGGTAGAGATACTGGGAGAAAATTTGAGCCCAGGAAGAAGGAAGGGGGGGGGGAGGGTGTTTTTAAGACGTGGTAATGCTTCTCATGGTCCTACTCTGTCTGTTGTGTTGTTAGTAGTGACTGTATTAAATTTATATTATTTTTTTCCCTCCCCTAATGAGTCTGTCTTTTGCCCGTGACCATATCAGGTGCATCACCTCTCCCTGCCCTTACCTTGATTCCTGAGCCTTTTGCTTTATTTTTCCCTACTCAGCACTGGGGGAGAAAGGGAGAATGAACAGCTCCATGGTGCTCAGTTGCCCTCTGAGCATAAACCACAACAACTGGTTTATATCAGTGTAAATGTTCACAGACATTTTCAGGGAAGAGCACCCAGACTACAAGATTACACTGCAATTTTGGGCAACATCAGGAGTAGAGCCCAAATCAGTCCCTATCCACTGATTTAAGCATCTGGACTCAAATTTCCATCTCCAATTACCTTAAAAATATATGGGAGAGCTATGCAAAGATGTTCCCTCCTGTGCCCCCATCACCCCGCTTCAGCTGTGACCAAGAGGAGGGCCCCCTCCCCAGGGGTGGTGGGTACCCAGCCTGTACCCCCAAGCCAGAGGGTGCCATCAACCCCAGGAAGTGGTGTCATCACCCACCTCCCCAGGGCACCCTTCTCAGCAAGACCCCTGGGCCACCAGAGGAGGGCAAATTGCACCTGCTCCCCAAGACATCAGGGTTCAGGGACAGTTTGCTGAACTGCTGCATCTGGAAATATCACTGTGGATCAATTTGAGGCGGGGGGAAAAAACAACAGCAGGCAAAGCGAACGTGCTGTCTCAGCATTTTCTAAATGTTATGTTTTGGCTTTTTTCATGTTGAAACAGCACCATTTTTGTTGGGAAGCAGATCCAAATGTAGGCAATAATTACAAAACAGAAGAAAAAAGAAAACAAAACAAAAAAAGTAAAAGTAAAAAAAATAGAAAAAGCTTGGCTCAAATCATCATTTTCTTTTCTAACATCTGTGGTTTGGCTGCACAGATTTAAAACAAATAAATCCAGCCAAACACCCCAACCCTCCAGCGGCTTCACCCTGCCCGACCCTCCCCGGCAAAGGGCAGGGGGTGAGCCGGGACAGAGGCGCTGGGGGCCTGGGATGGGGATGGGGCCATCCTGCCCTCCCTCAGAGCCCTGGCCCCTGTGGTGGGTGGGCAGGCTTGGATGTGGTGAGGGGCTGGGAGCGAAGAGGAGCCTTGCGGGGGATTTTTAGCACTTTCCTCCCTCTTTCTACACCCCCGATGTTGATAAAAATCAGAAAAAGTTTAACTAAGACATGCTGGAAGTTTCCAGTAAAGGCAGGGCAGTTGACCTGCCATGGGGTTGGATGTGGCTGGCCAAAAAATGCCAAGTTGTTGGGTTTTTTTCCTTTTCCCCACAGAAAACTTGACCTCTCCTTTGAAAAGAAACTCTCAGCAAAAACTGCCACCAGCTGTTCCAGGTGGTTTGATTTTCAGGACACCCCCCTCAAAAGTTTTTAAATTGGAGCCCAATTTTTCTATCACAAAGGTGATTTTTCTCCTACCTTCTTGAAACCAATCGGTTACAACTAGCAGTTGAAGTGATGCAGAGAGAAAAGTAAGTTTTCTCTAAGAACTATATCTCTCTCTGTGGGTGCCTCCAGTGAGTGAAATGCACATATGTACCCTATACAAGCCTAAGGGGGTATCTTTTGCTCTAGAAAATAGCCACAGACTAGAGATGTGGAATAAGCAGCTATGCCATGATTTCATAGAAAGAGCTAATGCGAGAAAAAGGAAAAACTTCTCAAGGGTGGGATCTGATGAAAATAGCCACCGGGTGAGCATAGAGAGCAGCTTGGCCAAGTGAATTCCTGGGATGCTTCTTCCTCACTCCCCGCTTCGTTCCAACCAGGAAAGCGCCCGCCAGAAGCGGTCCAAGCCCACACGACTGCAGTCGGACACATCAGACAGGCAGGCTCACACGCCACTGGGCTGCAACACAAGCCACTTCCTTACCTGCCTTGTCCTGTAATTAACGTGCATTGAATCAGAGGGAGAAAGGATGGGACGGTAGCAAAAAAGGAGAAGTGGAAAAAAAAGAGCACTAAGGAAAAAATAAACCAAAAACAATTTAGGCACCTTTTTTGTGTGCATTGCCCTCTGGTAAACCTGAGTAGTCAGAACTCGTTCATTGGCTTCATATACACCCAGGGCAAGGTTTTTAAAATAAAGGTCCATGTTGATATTTAATGGAATACATATTATCTACCTACACGTCTCCAAATCTACAACAGCAGTCTGTCATCTGCCACTTACTTGCTTCTGAAAAGTGAATGAGAAGGGATGGAGATCACAGAAACAGAGATTTTAGTAGAGGAAAAGTTTGGGGCAAACCTTAGAGATGACATGGAAAATGCGTTGCCCTCTGAAATTCAGACCAAGCTGTCCCATCAAATTTATTCAGAATAGCAACCCACCAAAAATATTTCAATCTCCTCACCATTTTACAGAAGGGCTACAGAATTATTCCCATAGGGGGGCAAAAAAGACACGTTATTAGGTTTTTAATGCTTTTTTTAGAAGTTGCATTAAAACACTGTTCAATGCCCAAACGACTGGGCTAATTGCATCCCCCCACCCAGACCCCTCGAAGTTTCTTTGCAGGGAAGGTGCCACTGCTCCTTACCTTTCTTGGCAGCCACTGGTTTTTGTCGGACTTTGGCGTTTTGCTGGCTGGAGACCTGGGTGAGGGAGAGGAGGCAAAGGAGGAGGATGCAGGCTCCCCGGAGCACCATGCTGCTGCCGTTCGGTGCCGAGCAGAGGTGGACTGACTCCGCTCTGCCCTCAGACAGCCGGCTTAACACCGGCTTGGAATCAGAAATGGCTGTCCCAGAAAGCCGCCTGCTGAGCCCCGGCCAGAGGCAGCCTCCCGGCCCCGGGGGGAGCTCAGGCGGCTCTGGCCAAGGCTGAAAACATCCCAGCGGGTTTGCATTTCTTAGCAGACTGCTTGTTTTCGTTTGAAAAAAAAAAAAAAAAAAAAAAAAAAAAAAA